ACCGCAAGGGTAGATGGGTTCAGGACCCTTATCCCTCCCCCCCCCCCCCAACATCACCCCCAGGCCTGCTCCCAGCCCGAAATACTGCCACTTCTAACCCCTCCTCTCTCGGTCAACTCCTTGAGCCCCTCTGATTCCCTCCCCTCCCCTCCCCTTCCTTCCACAGCTGTCCTTGAACCCTGGGCCTTTCTTCCTTGTCAGAGCCCACTTCCTCCCTTATCTCGACTCCCCCCTTCCCCAGCCAACTACCCTTCCCCTCCCCCTAGGGCCGCAGACTTCCTGTTGAGAATCTCTGGGGCCTCACTTCCACAAGAAAAGGAGGAGCCCTGCCTGCTAATCCTGCCTCCCCTGCTTGCTCAGGGGGAAATGGGAAGGGGATCAGGCTAAGACTCAGTTCCTGGGAAGGGGAAAGGATGGGGGCAGAAGAGGAGGCACCGTTGCCCCATAAGTCTGGTACCCCTGGGACTGGCTGGGAAGCCACAGAGGAAGGAAATGGTTAAAGTGGCTTCTCAGCTGGCCTGGGTGCCAGTCTCTGGTCTGGGGATTGGAGGAGGCAGGCATACCCAGCTGTCCCAAGAGCCCCCACCTGGCACCTCTGCTCTGCCACCTGCAGACTGAGTCTTCCGGTCATCTCACTTTCACTGTGTACCTTTCTCCTGGGCCTGCTCAGCCTCTGTAGCTCTGTCTCCTAGTGAGTTTGCCTTCAATTCTCATCTCATCTAACTCTCCATTTTTCTGTGAGTGTTCTGCCTCACCCCTGTCTCAGGCACTGCTACTCCATGGGCCCTGCCTCTTTAAGGCATAAACAAAGAACAGCCTAGCCCAGCCGGTGTGGCTCACTGGTTGAGGGTAGACCTGTGAACCAGGAGGTCACAGTTCAGTTCCCAGTCAGGGCACATAACCGGGTTGTGGGCTTGATCCCCAGTGTGTGGGGCACGCAGGAGGCAACGGATCAATGATTCTTTCTCATTGATATTTCTATCTCTCGCTCTCTCTCCCTCTCTGAAATCAATAAAAAATATATATTTAAAAAAAAAACAAAAAACACAAAGAACAGCCTTGTTTTTGACCAGCCAGAGAGACACCCACTCCTCAGCATCCTTCTTGGCCACTGAGGTAATTCACTGAAACCCACAGGTTTCCAACTCCTTTCCTCTACTTCCCCAGTCACAGGCTAATGCATACCTAGGAACACACCCCTGGCACCCCCCCAACACCAACTCAGGGACCTAATCATACACTTTCTGCCATGGATTGCCCCCCATTGTGATAGTATTAGAGATAGGGCCTCTGGGAAGAAATTAGGGTTAGATGAGGTTATGAGGGTAGAACACTCATGATGGGACTAGTGCCCTTATAAGAAGAATCATAAGAGCTTGATCTGCAGCCCATCTGAAAGCCAGGAAGGGAGCTCTCACCAGGAACCAAATCTGCTGGCACCTAGGCCTTGGACTTTCCAGCCTCCAGAACTGAGAAATAAATTCCTGTGTTTAAGCCAACCAGTCAATGATATTTTGTTATGGCAGCCTGAGCTGACACTTCTCACATGTGTACATGCACAATAGGTCCCTCTACCTATACACAAGCATGAGTCCCAACAGAATATACTTCCTCCAGATTCATAGTCACAAGTCTTGTCCATACACACACACACACACACACACACACACACACTCACACACACACACAATAGATATAAACTTGAATGCACAGGAATCTTGCATGTGTGATTGTGCACACACAAACACAATCACACACAAAAGTCCTATGTGCACAGACTCAGTCACACACAGGACTGCAGAGTGCACCCAGAAAAATCACACACGTGCCCACACATTCATGCACACATATCCAGGCTGCATATACACCTATACATGGCTCAAAGGCCACAGGCCCATTTTTACCAGTTGCTTGCACCATGCACAGCTTGGATGTGAGAGGATGCACTTCTTGCAGGATGGGGCTGGCTTGCAGGATCCCAGCAGGGACAGATCAGGATCACCCCATTCTGTGGCCTCCCCTGGGGATGAGATCTTGGCGTCCAGTTCACTCTCACTTCTGCTCAGAACCAGCAGGAAAACAAGAACCATTGACAAAGCCACCATGGCCTGAAATTGGATATGAAGGGAGACATGGCGATCATTAGGGAGGACCCACCTAAGTTCTCAGTCCTCTAAACTTAGCCTGTGGTTGTCACTCTCAAAGCTCTACCCCAGCTCTTTATCTCCCCTCATAGTTTCACTTCCCTGTGTGGATTCAGCAGCTTCTTCAAAATGGCAAGAAGGGGCAAGTACTGGGTCATGACCCATCTCTCCTATGTGCAGACTTGAAGAGCCCAAGGTGGGCCCTAGCCAGTTTGGCTCAGTGGATAGAGCGTCAGCCTGCAGACTGAAGGGTCCCAGGTTTGATTCCGGTCAAGGGCATGTGCCCGGGCTCGATACCCAATAGAGGGCATGCAGGAGACAGGCAATCAATGATTCTCTCTCATCACTGATGTTTTTCTTTCTCTCTCTCTCTCTCTCTCTCTCTCTCTCTCTCTCTCTCTCTCTCTCTCTCTCTCTCTCTCCCTCTCTCTCCCTCTCTCTTCCTCTCTGAAATCAATAAAAAATATATTCAAAAAAAGAAAAAAGAGGCCAGGGTGAGCAAAATGGCCTAGCCAAGAGTCTGGGGACTGGGCCTGGAGGCACCATGGTCTACACACAGGTCTGTTCAACAAGATTCCAAGTCATAGTGGAAATAGAACCACAAGGGAAACAGACCAGATTCTGGTCCTGCCTCAGTCACTCATTGGCTGTGTGGCATGTCAGACTTTCTCTCTGGGCCTCATTCCACATCTGTAAAGTGAGGGTATTGAATAATCTGACAGCTCTTAATAGCTTTTATAATCTTGGATTTTATATAAGGGAAGAGTGTTAGAGGTTGTAAATAAGGGGGCGGGAGTCTGAGTGGAATGATAAGAAATAAAGCTGGGGCAGATGAGGGAATATGTGAAAAGCACGAAGATTAGCTGTATTTGTTTAACATGGTAGCAAGAGAAATAAAGATTAGAGCATAAGAACTTTCTGAAGGTCTGGAATAGCACAGGACCGAAGGGCAAGGGGTGATAAAAATTTTTCTGTGCTTTGCTCAAAGGGAATCTACAGTGGAGAAAAGCCTTGAAGGCCCGCCCAGCATGGCTCAGTGCTTTAGCATTGTCCTATGAACCATGAGGTCAGGGTACATGCCTGCGTTGAGGGCTCAATCCCCAATTGGGCGTATGCAGGAGGGGGTATGCAATGATTCCTCTAGCTCTCTCTCCCTCTCCCTTCTCTGATTCAATAAATACATTTAATAGACAGACAGGGGAGGGAGGGAGGGAGGGGGGGAGAGAGAGAGAGAGAGAGAGAGAGAGATCAATGTGAGAGAGCCTGAAGGCAGGGTAATTCCTGGAACGCCCTCTAGGGAATACCAGGTAAATTTCTGATTTTAAAAAACATTAATGAAAATTTTGAATGGGCAACCTATTACCATGCTTCAAAAATAAAAATAAAAAAGCCTTAGCTGGTTTGGCTCAGTGAATAGAGCATCGGCCTGTGGACTGAAGGGTCCGGGGTTTGATTCCGGCAATGGCACCTGCCCAGGTTGCTGGCTCAATCCCCAGTAGGGGGCATGCAGGAGGCAGCCAATCAATGATTCTCTCTCATTATTGATGTTTCTATCTCTCCCTCTCCCTCTCTGAAATCAGTAAAAATATATTTAAATAAAGATTTAAAAATCCTATTGGCCTTTTTTTTACATAAACGGAAAAGCTGATTCTAAAATTCATATGGAATTGCATGAATAGCCAGAACAATCTTGAAAAAGAACAAAGTAGGAGGACTCACACTTCCCAACTTGTCACAGGTCAGTGTGGTGCTGACATAAGGTCAGGCATATAGATTCATGGAGTAGAATTGAGAGTCCAGAAGTAAATCCATCCACTTATGGCCAATTGATTTTCAACAAAGGTGCCAAACCATTCAATAAAGAGAAAATAATATTCAACAAATGGTGCTAGGATGACTGGATATCCACATGTAAAATAATGAAGTTGGGTAAGAGATCAACTGAAGGACTTGTATGCATGCATATAAGCATAACCAATGGACACAAGACACTGGGGGGTAGGGGAGGCCGGGGGAATGTCAAGGGGGGAAAAAAAGGAGACATATGTAATACTCTTTGTAATACTTTAAGCAATAAAACAAAATTAAAAACAAACAAAAATAATGAAGTTGGGTTCCTACCTCACAACATATACAAAAATTAACTGAAAATGAATCAAAGGCCTTTAAAAAAGTGCTTAAACTATAAATCCTTAGGAAAAACATAGGGGTAAATCTTCATGATTTTGGACTTGACAATTGACTCTTAGCTGTAACATCAAAAGCACAAACTACAATTTTTTTAAAAAGCACAAGCAACACAAGAAAAAAGATAAATTGCACTTCGTCAAAATTTAAAACTTGTGCATCAAAGGACACTTTCAAGAGAGTAAAATGATGGGTCACAGAATGGGAGAAAATATTTACAAACCATATATCTGATTAATATCCAGAATATATAAAGAACTCTTACAGCTCAACAACAAAAAGACAACTCTATTTTAAAATGGGCAAAGGATCTGTAATACTTTCAACAATAAAGATAAATTTTTAAAAATAGCAAGCAGGACCATGGAAGAGAGTATCCTGATAACTTTGAAAGAAAAGAAAAAAAATGGGCAAAGGATTTAAATAGTTATTTCGATAAAGGAGATAGACAAATGGCCAACAAGCACATAAAAAGATGCTTAACACCAGTTGTCCGGAAAATGCAAATCAAAACCACAACGAGGCATCGCTTCATACTCTCTAGAATGTCTCTTATTAAAAAATGGAAAATAAGTGTTGATGGGGATGTAGAGAAAATGGGACTCTCATTGTTAGTGGTGAGAACACTTGTGGGAAACAGTTTGGTGATTCTTCGATAAGTTAAAATATAGAATTACCCTATGACAGTGGTTCTCAACCTTCTGGCCCTTTAAATACAGTTCCTCATGTTGTGACCCAACCATAAAATTATTTTCGTTGCTACTTCATAACTGTAATGTTGCTACTGTTATGAATCGTAATGTAAATATCTGATATGCAGGATGGTCTTAGGCGACCCCTGTGAAAGGGACGTTCGACTGCCAAAGGGGTCGCGACCCACAGGTTGAGAACCGCTGCCCTATGACCTGACAATTTCACTCTTGGTGTATTCCTAAAGAATTGAAAACAGGTGTTCAAACAAAAACTTGTACACACACACACACAAAGATGGAGGAAAAAAACTTGTACACGAATATTCATAGCAGTACTACTCACAATAGCTAAAAGGTAGAAACAACCCAATGTTCATCAACTGATGAATAGGTAAACAAAATAGGTATATCCATACAATGAAATATTTGGCCATAAAAAGGAATGAAGTACTGACCATGCTGCAACACCAATGAACCTTGAAAACATTATGCTGAGTGAACAAAACCAGTCACAAAAACCACATAATATATGACTCCACTTATGTGAAACAGCCTGAGTATGCCCGGCTGGCATGGCTCAGTGACTGAGCATCGACCTATGAGCCAGGAGGTCATGGTTCGATTCCCAGTCAGGGCACATGCTGGGTTGTGGGCTCAATCTCCAGTGTAGTGTATGCAGGAGGCAGCTGATCAATGGTTCTCTCTCATCATTGACATTTCTAGCTCTCTCTCCCTCTCCCTTCTTCTCTGAAATCAATAAAAATATTTTAAAAAGAAAAGTAGATTAGAGGTTCCCAGGTGTTGGGGAGGAGGGAAGAATGGGGAGTGACTGCTTAATAGACAGTTTCCCTTTGAGGTGAAGAAAAAGTTATGGAAGTAGATAGTGTTTATGGTTGCACATCATTGTGAATGTCCTTAATGCCATTGAGTCATACACTTAAAAATTGTTAAAATGATAGATTTTATGTGTATTTTACCACCATAAAAAAAGATCAAAGTTAAATAAGATACTGGGAAATCCCCCATCCACCCACTTCCACACCCACTTTAAATAAATAACCATCATTTATTATTATCATTTGTTGCTTGTAGTCTTTCTAGAGATTGTCTTATGCATATACAAACTAATGTAAACATATGTAGGGTGTCCCAAAAAATGTATACACACTGAATAATTATAAAGGCAATGTTTATTAAAATACATTTCATTTTCGTAATTCAGCTGTCAGCTGATAAAGTATGTATACATTCTTTGGGGACATTCTGTATATATACTCTTCAAATGGTAGGATCAAATGATAGAATTCTAAAAATGATAGAATACACAGTTTGGCATCTTACTTTTTTTTCTCCTTTACTTTTCTTAGAGATCCTGCTACCCAAGAAAATAAAGAACTTCCTTGTTTATTTTTACAGGCATATAGTTTTTTATTGCATAGATTTATCATATTGTAGTTAGTCTCTTATGGTGGGGTTTTTAAATTGCTTCTAATTGTTCACTATTGTAAATAATATTGCAGTGAAAATTCATATATTTTCATTTCACATGTGTGCAAGGGAATCTGTAGGATAAATCCCTGGAAGAGAATTTGTGAGGTCAGTAAATAGGCATCATTTGTAATATTGCTGAGTATTGCCAACGTAACTGCCTTAAAGAAGGTGCCAATTTACATCCCCATCAGTGGTCTATGAGGAAGGCCAGCTAACTCTTTGTCATGAAGCAGCTGCCTCCTCCTCAGCCTGGACCTAGACTCAAATCCCGATGCTATGTAGAGTGTGGGGAAGGGTGGGGTGCCAAGTCATTGACCACCGTGTCCTGCTCCCCTCCACCTGTGACCTCAGGCATAGAATCTATGTGTACCACTTCTCTGATCTGCCTCACTCCTCCCGTTCTATTCAAATTTTTATACATTCTGCTGCTTTTCTCTTCTCCACTTCTTCACAGTTCTTTGTTTTGCTTCTTTTCTCTCTGATCCTAACCATAGGATGGCAGAAGCTTCTAGTTCAACCCCCCTCTTTATACAAATGGAAACCTGAACCCCAGAGTGGTGAGCGACTCACCCAAGGTCACACAGTGCGCTGGAGGCAGAACGGGGACTGAGACAGGTGCTTTCTTTCCCTCCAACCCAGGCACCATCAGTGTGGAAGTGAGTGCCCTCTCCCCAAGTAGCCCCAGTGGACTCTACCTAATCCCCTTTCTCTTTCCACGGGGGAGGGGGACTTCTTTAGTCTTCCCTTCTCTCCCTCCGTGGTTGTCTCATTTTCCTGGACTCAATTCTGACTCCAGTACACACCCTACTGTTCCCTGAGCAGCTGAGAACCAGCGGCTTCCCAGTCCATCCAGATCTTCCCAAGTCAGGCAGAACCCTGTGCTGTCCACTCGGGAGTCACCAGGAGGAAAGAGAACCGAGCCACTGGGCTACAGTCGCCCAGGACTGGGGGATCTGAGCTGAGCACCCCTTCCCCCCTCCCACCCCCCACTGCGAGCTCATTAAGCAGCAGGGATGGCAGCTGGGAGTAATATTGGGAGACCCTACCTTGACATAATCCTTGGCACATGGCAGGCATTCAAATTAATAGCACCCACACATTCCCTCACCTCCTTTTCCTCCCTCCAGCCCCATTCTTGGGAAACTGATGCAAGAGAGAGAGGTGGGGAGAAGGAGGGCTTGTGAAATGGGAGGAAGGAACAAGACAGAGGATCTTAGGAATGCAGAAAGGAGTTCAGAGCCTTGCTCAAGTTTCAGTGAATCCTGGGAGTCTTCAGGTCAGAACCCCTTCCAGGGAGGTTGGAACCAGGTGGGGCCTGGACCAGTACAGAGGCAGGAGGGCTGATGCCCTGGTACTCACAGGTGCGAGCAGGGCAGCCTTTCCTCCAGCGGCAGCGGCAGCCTTTGTGTACTGATCTGGGAGGCTACAGAGGAGGAAGTGACACGCCCGGGGTGGGGAAGACTTGGGGGTGGTGGGGGTGACTGATCTAGAAAGTGGAGCAGATAGGGTGGAACTGGGCCAAGAGAGTTGATGATATAGGGATCTGGAAGATCATCTATTGAGCACCTAGTAGGTGCTGGGTGTATTCTGATGTTATAACTAATCCTCACAGGAGCCTCATGACATCGGTGTTAATATCTCCCCAGCCCCCCTAGTTTCACAGATGTAGAGGCTTAGAGGTAAAAAGTAAAAACTACCCAAGGTCACGTTGCTAGTAACTGGATGATCTGGGATTGCCTCCAGAGTTGATGATGTCTTCACTTCCTTGTATATATAGGAACACGATAGGAAGAAATATGGAGGCAGTAAGTACTGGGGGAAATTGGTGACTATTGTTCAGTTTGAAAACCCCGTGTCCACTGTACCCTTGCGGGTGCTTGACTATACCAGCTCTGGAGCCAAACTGCCCCACTTCAGATCCTGGGTCTGCATCCCTTACTAGTCTTGGGACCTTAGGTAAGTTATTGACTCTTCCTGTGGCTATTTTCTCATCTGTCAAGTGGAACTCATAGGGTTGGTGGTTGAGAATTAAATGAGATTAATTCATATCAGCTGTTTAGAAGAGAACCTGGCACATACTAAGGGCTTGATGAGAGAATCAGTGAATGAGAAGTAATGGGGTGAAAAGTGGAGAGGCTTTGAGAAATTCAAGGTCCAGACAGCTGGGAAGCTGAGAGAGAGGCACAGGGCCAGGCTTAGAAAATGAGACGGGGCCAAGGAGCCCAGACAGTCGTGGAGCCTGGAAAGGGGTGGAAGGGCCACCTAGGAGAAGCATACCAAGCAGGAATGGCAGCTGGAGCGAGGGCAAGAATGAAGCCTGTAGTCTGGCCAGTGTGGCCCTGTGGTTGAGCATCGACCTGTGAACCAGCTTCAATTCCTGGTTGATTCTGGGTTACTGGCTCGAACCCCTGTGGGGGGCATGTAGAAGGCAGCCGATCAGTGATTCTCTCATTATTGATGTTTCTCTCTCTCTCTCCCTCTCCCTTCCTCTCTGAAATCAATTTTTAAAAAAATGTTTTTAAGAATGAAGCCTATAGAAAGACAGGGTTGTGGAAATACTCGCCCTGGCCCACACTTGACCAGAGGGAGCTTTGAGAAGGAACTGATGCGAGGTCTGTGTTCACAGGTCTGTCTCCTGTGTCAGGAGCACCCCTTTGGGACAAGACCAACTGAAGCCACAGCACCTAGCAAAGTGCCCATCTCATAGCAGGTGCTCAGTAAATGGCAGCTGGATAGTAGGCGCATAGCTGCTGGGAAGAGCAACTGTGGGGGAAGGGGTTCCTCCTTTGGGTGGCCTCAGGCTATGGGACTTTTTACCCTTCCCCCACAACCAGAGGTTACCATGGCAACCACCTCCCCTACCCCATAGGCCCTGTGGTTTCCTCTAGAGCTTCTTTCGCTTTCTTCTTCTGCTTTTCCCCAGCGTTCTCCCTTCCCCTACTCCCATATCCTCAACCTCTCTCCATATGCACAGGTCATTGGTGAAGAAAGCCAGGAACAAGGTAGGCAAGGCACTGTCCCAGGGAAGAAGGTGGACCATGGGGGTGCAGAGGTGATGCTGAGGGAGCACAAGGGTGCAGTGGTAGAGGCCAGAGGCAGTGGGGCAGATAGGGGCAAGGGGAGAGATTAGGACAGAAGATAGCAGTGGGGTCATGGAAGCTGAGTGGAGGCCATGGGGTGAAGAATGGGGTCAGAAGGGACAGAGAGTGGTCATAAAGGGTGGGAGAGCTCATGGAGTGAGAGGTTGGTATAAACAAACACTTAACTTAGATATAGGCTGTGGGTCTTTTCTTCTGGGGCCAGAGACCCTCATGAGAACCAAATGAAAGGTCAATGAACCCCCTCCCCAGAGAAGAGCAGAGATACACATATATATGACCATGGGTGGGGACAGCTTAAAGACCTCTGAGGCCCATTCCTGCCTTCCCAGAGGTCCATAGGGTCTGATCTAAGAATCCCCCCGGGTGGTTGTGGGAGGCCCAGAAACTCAGGGTGGACCCTGAAGGCTGCCTTTCTTCCTCTCCCCACCCCTCCCCTCCCCTCCAGGCACATTACATTCTATTTCCTTGGTTCCCCTGAGAAAGGCGCAAAACCCAGTAGATTAGGAGCTCTCCCTCTTCACCCAATCCCCCTTCAGGTCAGCTGGTCCTTTCCCCCCACCGACACCTCCTCGAGGGAGCCACATCCCATGAGTTTCTATCACTTTATTTTGCAAAAATAGAAAACTCAGCAATATGCGATACAGCGGGGTGGAGGGGAGATGTAAACAGAGGGGAAGGGACAGCACCCTGACCCCCCAGGAAAAAGGGGAGCCAGTGGGAATCTTATTTGGCAGCTAAATACAAACTGGGGATTGGAGGAAGAAGGGGAGAGTCACAGGGGCCCTGGGCTCCCCCTCCCAAGACCCCTAGAGGAAGGGGTCAATTCCAGGGTGTAAACAAAAGCTAATAAATAAATAGAGGCTTCCTCTGGGTCAGGGCAGGATCAGCTAAGCAGCACCCACCCCCCCTCTCCCTGGGCCAAGCTGCTCTGGGGGTCAGGGAGGAAGGCACTAGGGGCAGAGGGGTCCCCTGGCCCCTCTGTAGTGTAGGAGGGTCCCTGCCCCATGGCTGAGATGGGGGGCAGGGAGAGCCCAAGGCACATGACAGGACTGGGGAGGGGCTTATAACAGAGGGCACAAAGGTAAACTCTGGGCCCAAGCAAAGAGGTGCAGAATGGGCCTGCATCTGTAGCTTTCACCCTCTGGACCCCCACAGAAATGCAGGGCCTGGCATGAGGAGGGGGCATAGAGGGTAGCATGCACCCAGTGAGTGCATTTACGCAGCATTAGGCACCAAGGGCAAGGGCAAGAGGGTGGGCTCAGCCCTCCCCCTTCACCCCTCGTTTGGTCTCTAGTGTTCCTGTTTGCTCCCAGAGGCCTAAGCACCGGGCAGAGGAAGGGACTGTGGAATGGCAGGGTCTTCCTCCTGCCCTGGGGAGATTGGGACCCTGGTGTCCTAGGGCAGTGTTGAGATTTTACAGTCCAAACCCAGGCTCAGCCCTCTGCCCTCTTTCCTGGAGGGAGCAGGGCAGGCTCCCAAGACTGGAAAGGGAGCCCGTTAGAGCAGGAAGGGAATGAACACAAAGATACCCCCTTGGAAACTTTGGCAAAAACAAGGAGCTCATTGGAAGGGGTGGGGAGAGGGCAGAGCAGGTCCTCCCCCAGTCACTGGTGGTGTCTGGGAGATGGTCAGTCTGCTGCCTGGAGCCCCAACCCCCATGGCAGGGGAAATCAGGGGCCCTGGTCAGGCTGAGGGCTACGGCCCCCTTTGCCCTGGCCCCCCGGAACCTCATCCTTGCTAGAGGCCTTGGGTTGGGGACCAG